AGTTAGCGTTTTTATTGCTGGTGGTAAACCGTTCCTGGTATGAGGCCCTCTGAATGAGAAGGAACCTTGACCAAATTATGTTTTATATTTTGCAGGTTTATAGTTTCCACAGCAACCCTGGTTCTGATTCCAGCTCTGCTGACTTTGGGAATCGTTCTAATACTGGGACAAGATCCTTGATACATGTAAAAGTTAATTTTAAAAAGGAAAAACTTATTAAACTATTAAAACTTAAAAGACTGTTATTTCTCCAGTATTTTGTAGTGGTACCACTTCATTATTCTTTGATCTGGGACTTTGAGTGCTTTTTTATACAACAGCGCCAAAGGTTTAAACACAGATTGAGCTGCTTGGCTTGAGACAAAATCATGGCATTTTGGTACAACTGAGAAGTTTCCCCACATAGGCATGATCTCATAAAATGAAACCAGCTCAGAATATATGAGAACATTTTGAAAAGGTTATGTCAAATTGCTTTAAGATCAAAAACATTTTTCCTTTACAGTTCAACAAGCAGATAAATGAGATTATGTTTTTTTTTTTTTTATTAGTTACAGATGAACACTTCTTTTTCCTTTCTAACATATTATAGCCACACATGTCTGGTGGGAATGTAAGATTACTGTTGATAAGATAAAGACATCCACCCAAAAGGTGTAAAAAATGTTTAACAAAACTTGACTAGCTAACTTAATTACTGCAGATAGAACACATAACTGTTCTATGCCAAAAGCAGAAAGATATATTGTGCAGTGCCATGTGGTGCAAAAAGTCTAAGAACCAATGCTTTGGATCAGATGAATGTTCAAATGGCGCGTTAAAAGTCCAAATAAATCCGCTTGAGAAACTGTTGAGGGCTTAATGACTGAAGTTTTGAGATCATCTCCATCAAGTTGGACTAAGGTTTTCAAAATCTAAAAACAAAACAAAAAAAAAACACCTGTTTGTATATATCCTACTTTGGTAAAGACATGTTACCAAACATACAGCAACAGGTCTACTTCTGTGAAAGTTATGGTTGGGAGGCTTTAAGAAATACTTCTGAGTTTTTGTTTTATGTATTTTTCAGTATGCAAACGTGACTTTTTCTTAAAGAAACCCCACTTCCATTTTCTTTCCTTAAATGAGAGTTCCATCTAGTGGTAATTGTTTGCAAATGCAGCTAAGCGCAACTGGAAATCAACTGTTCTGGCCACCCTTATGTTGAAAAAAGAAATAAGGAACCTTTCTACCAAAGGTCAGACCCTGTACCGCCTGGAATAAATCGTGCAGTGAAAAAAACACTAATATTTGTCTTTGTGACCTCCAAGTCTTTGTGACACAAAATCTTTAATGTATATTAATGTATATATTAATGGAAATAATTGAGTCAGACTATTTTGATAAAGCGCATTTAGGGTTTACATGATTGCAAATTCAGTTTAATGCACAAACCGTTTCTATTTCAGGGAAATGCACAGAACAATAATCAAGTTATATACGTAGATTCCAAACTGTGTATATATGTATATATATA